TACGCTCAAACAGCTTCGCTTCCAACATTGATGCCTGGGCTGATTTCAATGCACATCTGAGAGGCAGAGGTTCCATCTCCCTCTCTATCCCTCACTCGCTCCCAATATATTAACGATGTCGAATTTCAATGCTTTGTGCTTCAATTGAGCAATGTTTAATGTTCGAGTTGCTCTTGAATTGAATTAAATTGCGTGTGATTGGTGCGTGAATGAGTCCATTAAGTGCTCTCGCACATTGTGCTCATATTCCCGCAGCTGTGGCACATTGGAAATGCAGTTTGATCAGTGCTTTACCCGTTGAGGAATTTGCTCAACAGGTTTTTTTTTTCGTTCTTTTTATGAGAGAATGAGAGACTCGTTGCCGGATCAACCTTCGCATTGGCCTGCAGCCAAGTCCATTTGAGTCCATTTCTTTGGCCTTCGGCATGCGTCTTATTGATTCAATCATGGGAACAACAGCAGCTTGTTCACGAATGGCACGAATGAAACATATTTCATTCCCCTCTCAACCATCCACCTCAGCCATCAACCATCAACCCATCTTCATCCGCCAACGCCTCCGCATTGGCATCTCGCAAGACACGTCAATGTCAAGGCTGTTCGAAAATGTGATTGTGACCCTGCGTCACGAGTGACGGATAATTCACCCCGAGTCTGCGACTAGTGACTGACACTTTGTCATGCACTTGTCATCCGACAGAAACTACTTCTAAATTCATAAACATTGATTTATACAGCTGAATGGCATATTTTAGCGTCAACGCCTCAAACTACTTAAGACTCGAGTTGCAGAATGTGTGTAGAATCGAAGATGTAGTTTTCCATAGGTGAATAGCTGAGGGAAACACTTTTGATCTGTATATATTCATAAGTGTAGCGATAAACTGGACAGATAACTGAGTTAATATAGTGTAGATTATCATTGTCTTATTTACCAAGTGTAACAAAAATAACAATAATAATATAATAAGATTTTAACATCCCATATTTTATATCCATACATCTATAAGCTAAGATAAGCAAAGATCTCAAGCTAGGAAAATAAAAGTCTAACCTTTCAGTTTAGATCGACTTGCAAACGAAGTAATGTTTGTGGGAGTATTACGAATCTCTCCCCAATACCATGCTGGGTATCTTCTGGTCAATCGCAGTCAAGCGAATGCCATTTAAACGAATCATGAGTCTAGCATTTAATAAAGCTTGACTGGCGTCTGCTCGTACACGTTTCGTGGCAGTTGATTATGTAGTCCGAGCAACCCCAAGGCTCAGTTCGAGCCAAACTAATCTCGCAGGTGTTCTAGTTTATGCGATTACATGCCTACGACCGACATAATGCGCCAAATGGCTAATTAAGAACTGCAGCAGTCGCATTTGAATTCTTGTCTTCCCGATTGCTAGTCATAGCCATTAGTCATTCGACAACAGGACACAGGACTTGCGTGTTAAATTATTGCTAGGCATTCATTTGATTATGACATGAAGCCACACACACACACACACTCTCTCTCTCTCTCGCTGGCATACATACATACATCCACTTAGACAATTAGCCAAAGGCGTGTCCGCAGACTTGGCCTTTATTGTGTTTTTTTCTTCTTCTTCTATTTTGGGTGTTTCTTTTGAGTTTCGCATAGCTGCGACTTGTGGGAAATGTTTCTTACCAACTCAAATTAAATGGCATTACAGAAAACTATGAAATATAAATAAAAGCATATTTATAAATATATATATGTGTTTATATACATTGATTAAATAAACTTTTCATAAGCCGCATAAACTATTAAGGAAGTCGGAAGTCGGGCTCAACCAGCTGCCTAATTCTCGTTCACATCTCAAAAACAACTAAAGCTGAAGTATTTTTATATTATTAGATTTCCTTTTGTTGTCAAATTTTTTTTTCTATTTGTACAGACTGACGGGTGTTGACATCGACGAATAAAATGATAAAATATCGGCATAAAATCTCTTTGTTAGTTTGATTATAATTAGAAGCATTTTCAATATATTTTGAAAATTTTACGCAGCAAATTTTTAGCGCAGCTTAAAAATAATCAAGGAGTGGATGATGGCAAGGCAATGTGCCTATTTTTGGACACGGGTTTGGGGTCAAGAGCTGGACAAGAGTGGTGAATCCTCAGCCAGACGACATAGTATTCGCATGGCATCGCATCGCCTCGCCTCGCCTCGCCGGCCAGCCCCCGCGGCGCATTGTATTTAAAAATTGAATGTATTTTCGTTACTGCCAAGTTTGCCGGGTTGGTCGCTGGTTTTGGGGCGCAGCGAGGCTGCAGTAATGCGCATTGATTTTCATTCGAGCCCATCCATCGATCCGGCGAGCTCTGTTTAATGAGTCAACTAAATCTTTGGCCCAAACTCAAACGGGAACTGGAACGCGAACGCGAACGCGAATTCGGACTCATACTCATACTCGGACTCCAGCTAGATTCACGCTAAAATACCTGCGAAAATTCTTGATTTGATTTGGGCGCGTTGAAAGTTTTTAATTAATTGCTGCGAGTCCGAAATGTTGCTGTAGTTGCTTAGCTTCTGGTACATACACACACATACACACGCATACACCCAAACCTATACAACTGGCCTGCGTGTCTACGGATGTGCAAGTCTTGGCTACTAGAGGTTGGTTTCCATCATTTTGTTTGGCCAAATGTCAAACGTGACCCAAAAGTTGTTAGCTCTTCCCTGGCTCCCACCGGACGTGACAGTAATAGGTCATGCTTGATTCGATTCGATTTTTCCTACGGTTGGGCAAAAAACTTTTTTTATTTGATTTTGATTTGATATTTTTTATCGCCCGAATTTTCGGCAAACAAATTTATCTGCAAGTCCGTGTTGAAAACTGTTTACTTTTTATGGTTTTTGGGTTACTCAAATTTTTGCAAGATTTGGCAGAGAACTGCAAAATTTCTCAGAGTGCGGCGAATTCGTTATACTTGAGAATATTCAAATGAATATTTATAAATAAAAATACTTACTTTGAATCCATAGTATATGCGATTTTCCGAATACTTTGTTGTAATTGATTAAATCATATTTTTGATATATGTTTTATGTGTACATATATTTAAATACTAACTAAATTTCGAATAAATCAACACTCTTGCATTGCACTTGTATTATTTTTATTTTGCAAATAATTATTAATTTTTTTTTCACGAGTATTTTTCAATTTCAAATAAATTTTTATTATTCACTCTCTACGCTTATTTAATTATTTTTCATTTATTTTATTTTAATTTGCATACTGAGCTACTTGAGCTCTCGACGGGCTTCTCAACTGGACAGATAATTAGTTTTTAATTCAATTTGTCAAAACTTCACTCATTACATTAATTTCCTTAATTATGCGGACGATTTGAATTCAGGCTGGGTGTTGCGGATAACGCGCGCACATTATTTCGCTAGAAATCCTGTGCACGCACATTATTTATACATTTTGTGAAATAAATTAAAACGTAACCAATTAACACCTCGCGACGCCAAGGAAAGCCAAATTTCGAAAAGGCGCGCAACGCTCTGGCAAGCAGACATCAAAGTTATTTCAGGCTAACTTTGAATACGAGGCAACGCGTCGTATACACAACTTCCTGCCGCACTGCGACGCGTTCTAACGGCTACTGAATGGCCGTTCGGCGTTTCGCACGCCGACAGCCAAACAACGACGACAAAGATGACGACAAAGACAACACAGGCGGCAATATTTGAAGCAACAAGCACTTGTTCAGGAGCGCCTCGCGGGCTGACCCTAATGGTAAATGATGTCCATCACTGCTTAAGTAATGACATCATCTTTATATTTTATGCTAGCGTTTGTTTGGCAACTTGTTAACCGCACAATTAAATGTCTGCTTAATCAAATAAACTGTTTTATCTCAGCGGCCTGTTAACATTCACGACGTCGAACCACCTGTTAACAGCAGCAGCAACTTTACTATTAACAGCAGCAAGCGCTGTTGTATGAAAGCTTTTGTTGTTTACTGTTGGTAAAGCTTTTAACCGTTTCTGTAGCATACATTTTTTAAAATACATAAATAAATATCAGTACATATTATATAACCTTATACCACTTATACCCACAATTAAAAAATTAATAAAAAGCAACTTATTATCTGTGGCGATTCATTGTGACTATCCATGTACTCTTCAATAATAAATTCTGAGAGTCTTCTCATCTACTATATTAATATTACTTTAATAATATATTAAAGAAAAACAAAATGTCCCAAGGTGTGCTTTATCCAATGATGCCAATATATATTAATTTCTTAAGTTTGATGCTCTACAATGATTTTAGTATATTCGGAGTACATTTTAAACGACATGTTGAGCGCGTAAGTCGTCAAAGCCATTCATCTTTTTATGTTATCGATAAGTATTATAAGTATCAATAGATATCGATGTTGCGCTCGTGTACGGCTGTTTTCTTTTAAGTTATTTTAAATGTTTGAGAAGGAGCTACATTCTAGACAATCCATGAATTGAAGAATAGATAATCCATAATTCTTCTCTTGTCGCTAACCTACCTATGGTGGTGCTGCCCTTCGCCGCGTTCCCTGCTAGCTTGGTATTTTTCTTGGCGATCTTTTGGTATATTTGCAATTGCAGTTTGCGGTCACACTGCAGCTCATTCTTTGAATCTGATTCCTCGCCACGCCACGGACGGCCAGAACGTAAGTGAGAAAATAAAATGTAATTTTAATTGCGTAAGAGAAATAAATCACATGCTCAAATAGATAGGATATTTGTGTTCAAATTTTTAGTTTTCATTGAATTGAGAAAATGTAAGCCAATTGTCTCCAACAAGCAACCATTGATACTTAGATGTGCATGACACATTATGTAACTCGCAAGTGAACGGTGAACGCTGTGAAAATTCGCTAATCGCGCAGAAGCAGATTTAATTATAAAAACCTTCTCTAATTTTGTACTTTCCTGTGTTCTTTGCAGCTCGGACGCAATAGTAGACACAAAAAAAAGACAATATGTTCTCGTCTTTTTTTCAAGCCGCTAAAAATTCGCCATTCAAAACGCCATTCAGCCAAGCCCAGTGCGATGAGGGCAAAGCTGTCGGCCAGTTGTCGGCTTATCCTAAGGTAGGTCAGCCTGGCCCCGTTGTTGGACGTGAAATCGCGGCTGCAGCAGCAGCGTCAACGGATTCCTGTGAGTTTGGCAGCAACAAATATTTTGCGCTGTGCGGTATTGGTGGCATTTTGAGTTGTGGTACCACTCACACATTTGTGGTGCCATTGGATTTGGTCAAGTGTCGCTTGCAGGTGGACCCAGCCAAGTATAAGAATCTAGTTCATGGCTTCAAGGTCACGGTAGCTGAGGAAGGTGCTGTTGGTCTGGCAAAGGGCTGGTTCCCAACTTTGATTGGATACTCGTTGCAGGTAAGTGTCTTGACGCTTACATAACATCAATAATCGTTAAATCACTCACGTGCATTGATTTAAACTTTTCAGGGTCTTTGCAAGTTCGGTTTCTATGAGGTGTTCAAAATTAAGTACGCCGATATTCTTGGCGAGGAGAATGCATATTTGTATCGCACCTACATCTATCTTGCCGCATCGGCATCTGCTGAGGTATTCGCTGATATTGCGTTGGCTCCGTTCGAGGCGGCCAAGGTTAAGATTCAGACAGTTCCCGGTTATGCTAACACATTCCGTCAAGCAGTACCAAAGATGTTGTCAGAAGAGGGCATTGGAGCTTTCTACAAGGGTTTAGTGCCATTGTGGATGCGTCAAATTCCATACACCATGATGAAGTTTGCGTGCTTCGAGCGTACTGTGGAGCTTCTCTATAAGTGAGTAGTACAATCTAAACGTTGGGAATTTTTTTGAAGTTACACCCTTTCGTTGTGTTTTGTAGATATGTGGTGCCCAAGCCACGTACAGAGTGCTCTAAGGGAGAACAATTGGTTGTTACCTTTGCCGCTGGTTATATTGCTGGCGTGTTCTGCGCTGTTGTCTCGCATCCAGCTGATGTGGTCGTTTCCAAGCTGAACCAGAGCAAGGGTGCCAGCGCCGGAAGCGTTGTCAAGTCGCTGGGCTTCATGGGCATGTGGAATGGATTGACACCACGTATCATTATGATTGGTACACTCACTGCCTTGCAATGGTTCATTTATGACGGCGTCAAAGTAGCTTTGGGTATTCCCCGCCCACCACCACCAGAAATGCCCGCTAGTCTGAAGGCCAAGGAGAAGAGCAAGTAAATGGCTCATAATTACCGAAAACAATGAAAGCAAACAGCTAAATCTTTGAATTAAGGCTAATTCAAATTCAAGATCAACCCAATAGTATAAAACGGGACGGCAAATCTAAATTAATGAGTTGGCAAAGATAACATACCATATATTATGTACTTTACTTCACAATGCGTGTGCATTTGATTCGCATTTTATTTATAATCAACTTTCGGCTATTATGCATTCCGATGTTACCAGTTGAAGATTTTTCATAATGATTCCAAGAAAACTAATTATTTATCTAAACTAATTATAATGTATTCCATTCCAAAACTACATGCATACTATTAGTTGTCATATGTATGTTTATGTTGATAAGCCTACATATACTCTAAAATGTCTTTTGTATTTGATATTTGATATTTGTATGTTGTTTTTCCAAACTCAATGATAATTACCGATTAACAGGTCTCAGAATATGGTATGTAATAGATAATATAATTCAACGCTTAATTGCCGCATAGAAAATTCCACAGACATTGAATAAACTAAAAAATACAAACAACAGTAAATATTTGAGTTTCATTTACGTATTTTGCAATTGCATAAACGAAACGCAGTTTGTTCAGTATATTAGACAGTTTCCCTTCCAGATAACCCATGAACCTCACCGGAAATACTGCTGATATTTGAAGTTGATTTATTGGATGCAATGGTTTTCCTTATAGTCAAAATGTAAAAGAACTCCTTCAGAGTGCGATCTTGAAATGTCGAAAATATCCGAGTACCAAAGACGAACCTCAAAGCAGAGGTGGGCATCGGCTGGGATTTTGTCGGGCACCCGCGGGTATGGGCTGGAAAATCGAGTTTCACTCAACCCGTTTTACCCAAAAGAATTTGGAAATATGAGCACGCAATGGTGAAAGATTTACATGTTTTCCATTTTAATTGCAAATATTTTCTTTTCGTTTATTATCGATTACAATTATCATCAGCATCCAAACATATTTTATGTATCCGTTTTTCCGTCATCAGGTAAAACATTATTTTGTAGCTTTCGGGTGCGGGTAATATTATTATTATTTTTTTTTTAATATTTCCGCCCATGCCCAACTCTACCTCAAACATTTACATATGTAGGTGCATATACATAGATTCAAAGGTTTACTCTCCTTCTTCAACAAAAATACTATGTGGTACATACATATATTTCAAAACATGCATACAGACAAAGCGGAATGAATATATAAGCCTGGCTATTATTGTTGTTCATGAATTAATATAATAAGTATTAAGTATTAAACTGCGGTTATAAAAATCTCTGAACTTTGGTATGGCATATATGTATGTATAAGTACTTAGTCTTAACTTATATTATAGGCAATATTTAAAATGTGAATACTCGTAAATAGCTCACCAATTACTAGACCAACGCCAGGAATAGTCTACGATCTGGGTGAAAACCTTTGAAATAAATACAATTAATTATGCCTTTTTTTTTAAATTCATATTTAATCATTGAAAATAATTATGTAACATAATTTTACTGTGTACACATATTGGGTTGTAGTTGGCGTTAAAAACTAAATAATCATTAAGCTTTCTAGAAGAGAATTAGTTTTCTCATCAGCTGTTAAGAAGCCGGGAAGTGGTATTGGGGCTTATAATTAAATAACCGCTAGGCCTAGAGCTAGATTTTGTACAAAACTAAACGCGTAGGTAATGTATAAATGTATTTAACAGGCAATTTTCTGGTGCATGGCTTATCTATATATTTTATACACACATCTGTTAAAATATGCAGATATAGATATATACGTTCTATGTACAGATCGCTTAACTTCTAATTTTCAAAGTCGGGATGACACGCATAAAAACATTTAGAGACACAGATCATTTATTATGTGTGATGTTTCGAATCATGTTTTGACTTGTATTATGTTTATTATTTTATTATGACGTGTTTTTACATGAGGACGTGTTTTCCATAACAAGCCATTTCAGTCTTAGAGTTTCAAATAACCAAAATAATAATTTAAAAAAAAAATATATAAAATTTTCCGTGCAAAATCTTATTTACTAAATTTTTGTATATTCTTTTAGAGTTTTTGTTTTTCTGTTTCTTTATTTGCATATAAAGAGAATTTCGAAACAATGGTTTGCTAGGATGACTCACGCTTTTCTGTATAGTTTTTCTTTTTTAATTTATTTTTACTTGAGCTGTTTCGTTTTTAAGCTAATATCAGTTATATGGTAGACAATCACACAAGCATATAGGTAAACATAAGAGTACAGAAAATAAAAATTGATTTTGATATCGTGACACAATCAAACGGACTACAACATATATTTTGGAGATATGTATATGGGCTACAAGGATATGGATCTTGAAATTCAATGAGTTTATACCTATTTTTTTCCTCGTTTCACCAAACTCATTTGTGCTTAAGATAAAAGTAGTTTATGTTTGATTGTATGTAGAGAAAACCTCAAATCAATGGCACCTTACTAGATTCTGGCTTTTGAAAGTGTATGAGGTGTGGTACGATAAAAAATTATGAATTGCCCCCTCATTATTGTAGGACGTAACACTCAGAGGCGAATTCCTGGGTGGAGTGCCGCTTGGCATAGACAGTAATCGAATTCCACGCGCAACCGAACACTCGGAAGAATCACACTTGATCCCAGTGTCCGATCCAGCCACAGACCTGCTCAGCTATACAATTAGCTTGACCCTCTATACTATATTTAACTATGTATATAGATGTATATATCTTCTACCAATATGGCGTATTTGGTTCCTGGTTCCAGTTCTTCTCCTGCGCTTTGGCAAGTGCATCGGTTAAAGTGGATCGCATTTGCTGGCTGGAACTACGATTTTGTCCTTTATCATAGGGCGACAGGGCATTGTAGTAGAAGGGCGACCGTTTGCTGATGGTATAGTTTTTGCCCTGTTAAGAGATATAGATGAGAGAGATGTTACTTGGATAACTCTTGGATTTAGTACCAGGCACTTACATCATTATTGTCCCAGAATTCTTTATCATTTGTGCGATAGCAAATGCAGAATTCCAGACGCTTGGAGGATGGCGGCAGCGTGATTTTGAATGAGAATGTATCGAAGACAACGTGGGCGCAGGTGGCGGGGCCGTAGGCCCTGGCATATGTGCAAAATATGTCCTGCTGGCTCTTCCAGTTGTCCCAGGTGACGCGCACAATGACTTCCTTAGCGAAATCAATGTTCTTAACCTTGATGGTGCCCACCACAATCGATTCCTCATCCTTTACAATGACGTTCTCCAGCGAGACAAAGTCACGTTCGATCTTTTGTCTGTTGAGCAAAATTTTAATATGTGAGTTTGATTAAGTTTTATTATAAGCGGATGTTTATCTTACCTGAATGTCAAATAGTCGGACGCTGGCTGCTTAAAGTCGACGGTCCACTGATCCGGCGGATGCGGACTGACTAGACCCTGTGTGATCTGCTCCAAGAACTTCATGCTCCAGTATGGCGGCACATTCGAGGGCTCGGACATGACGCGCACCTCCGTCAAAGACAGCCCCTCGTCGTCAGCGAAGATCACATGCTTTTTGGGCAAGTGACTGAAAAGGCAAAATAGAGAATTCGATTAATGAGAGTGACTAAGAGACTTCTTTCGATTTGTAGCTGAAACAATAGCTCGAGCTGGTAGATTGCCAATGTTCTCAAATATTGAACTAATTGAGAGAGAGAGAGAGAGAGAGAGAGAGATTTTGCATTGCAGCCTTGAACCTATGCTTATCAGCTCTCGTGTTTCGGACCCCCCATCTCTTACGATTTACTTTTATGGATCCAAGTTTATTGTCTTCTTTTGGAAAGCATATTGAAATTGCGACGTTGCATTTGATTTGCTTTTATTTCTTGCTTTTATTTTTAGCAAATAGATGTTTAAATTTGACAAACACAAAGTCAATTGAGATATTTCTTTTTTGGGTACATTGTGACCTGCGTTGGCTGAGAATCAAGCTAATCGGAAGCTGTCACCGCCCATTGCCAATAATTTGGCATTTAAACATTTTGTTTCTTTCCCTATTTGAACCCAAAAAAAAAAACATTTAAATTTATAATCTTTGTGGCAGCCTTGTATACTATAAGTCCTGTTCAGCCAGTATTGGCGTCTAAACGGATTATTTGTATTTCTTTCCGTTGCGCAATGTAGACAGATATTTCATGTTTATTTTATTTTTATTTTATTTTATTTTTTTAATTTTGCGTCACAGTTTTGTAGGCGCATACAAAATATTTGTGTGTATATGTATTTTATATATATTGTGCTATTTTGGTAGCCACGTACCAGGGTTTTATCCAGAAAATTAAAAACAAATAAATAAACGGGAGGCAGCATATTGCCTTAAAATATCTTATTTTATGGCAGGAGTCAGCACATTTCTGCTACATATGGAACGAAATAAGGCATACCCTTTTTTTCGTATACCCCTAAAAGTAAACTCTGGTAAAATTTATAAGCCCTTCCTATTGCAGCTACTAGAGAAATAAGTATATATATAAATTTTTATTTATTAATATTAAGAAAGAAGGCATGTCTATTGCAATGATAAGATTAATATATATCAAGCAATTTGTTAGGCAATTGTTTGTTGTATTAACGTTTGTCATTAATTGAGCCCCATGGAATCTCTAAGAATTGCATTTCACACAATAGATATGCTGAAAGGCAATTAAACATATTTTTACTTTAATGAAAAGCAAATAGAGTAAAATGTTTGCTTGTCCCTCTCGCTGTGTGTGTGCTTGCTTTCTTATAGTAAATGTGGCCAACAATTGCTATTGTGGCTATTTGCTGTGTTAGCTCTGTTTATTAGTCTGACGCCAATATCAAACAGCCGGCTGGTCGCGCTGCTAACATTTGCTGATCGCCGACGCCGATCGCTGATCACGCGTTGAAGGCGTGTGCACTAGTTCGCCTGTCTGCTTGCCTGCTTGCTGCATTTTCTTCAACAGGTTTGGCTTTTAATTTTTTTGCTCGATGTTCGGGCGATCGATTCGATCGTTCGATCGTCTCTAGAGTGTGTGGGCACCGCCTCGAAATCTTGTTTCGTTTTTACGCGTTGCCAGTGTCAACTGCTGAATTTGTGGCTTTGGCGTTGTTGCATATCAAATTTAATAGATTATAATTTTTCCGATTTTCCATGTCGTTGCCGGCCGGGCTGGTTTTATAGGCCAGCTTGACTTGAGGAAGCAACGAACATGGGAACGAGTTTACATTCCTTTCTTGTTTTCCCTTCTTCTTCTTCTTCTTCTTGCAGGTATTCATTTACATATCCATATATATGATCGCATTACCCCCAAAATAAAAACAAAATAAATGCATATGGGTCCGGTTGACGCCCAGGCACAATAAAATAACGTGCGACTGCTTAATATGCGCTACACAAAATGGTGTAAGAGAAACAAGTTTTCCAAAACAAAGAAAGAGAAAAAGGGATTACAAAAGCGCCTCCAACTGAAGAAAATGATAAGACAGGTATTTCAGGTGAAACCTCTTCCGACCCATAGTTGGCTT